CAAACAGTCCTGTAGGCGTTATCGGTTTGTAGGAGTTTTGGGTATATTCTAAAATGGATAATTTGTGAATTATTTAAATACGCAAATTATCTTACCTCGAGGCACCACGTTCTTAATTTAGTCAAAAATTAACCCAGGAAAGAGACGAAAACCTGTAACTTTATTGTAATCAGTCTCACAATAAATGTACCCAAAATCGTTTGATGAGTTCTTGTCCTTATCAGAACCAATAATACTTTGTCAAGACACAAAAGTGACATTAACTTATGTTGGCACGTTCTCCACGGGCCATTTATTTACAGATTAAATGTGTTTAAAACTATGGTGAGTAAGAAGTGATGACATGTTGAACCAGGTAAAACTGACAGAGTTCGCAATCACAAGTGAATAAACAAACAGACAAACAAATAAAATAAACACTGAGAGGTGAGTTTGAGGCTTAGAATGAGGTGAGGTGAGTTTTGCTTTTAGCTGGTTTTTAACTAAGGGGGTTCTAGTTAAATTAGGGAGAAAAATCATTTAGTTTATCAAATCTCATACAAAGATAAGAATCAAACTAGACATGGGTTTTTACGATGTAAAAACAAGTGTGCATTGCCACGTAGCATGTCATTGCAGCATGGCTTTGCCTGCAGTATTGGACTTGCAGAATGAGCTTTGACCAGGATCAAATGTGTTTTCTATACCAGGTTGTGCCTGTCACATCAGCAGGTGTTTGTAATTAAGGTAATTGTGTGACAATATGAAGTTTGAAGAGATTTTTGTTAAAGTTGCAGTAGCTGAATTTGAACCTTGATCTCCCGCATGAAAGCCCACAGTGCTCATCATGAGACTATAGGAGATGTGGCAGAGGACAATCCCAGGAATTGGATTGTATGTATACAGAAAAAGTTTACCTTGCCAATGCAATTATTGACACTTAAGCGCAATATATTACAACAATAGAGCAGTATTAAGACAATATTATAGTAAAACATCAAAATACAATCATATTAATATTGTAATCACTGAACTAGTGAGTTTAAATATTATGAAACTATGGTGCAGTACCATATTGTGCAGATGCAGCAGGGGGCAGTATTGCACTAATACAAGGCTCCTTTGACTGCCATTATAATTTATTAAACATTAATATTTCAAAAACTATAAGTTTTACAGGCACCTAAAGGCATAGCCATCATTTGGCACAGGGGCTTTACAGATATAACTTACAATGGCAGCTCTAGGACAAAGTATGCAGGAGGAGAAGCATGGCAAAGTTGAGATGACTTGGATGGGAAACAAATCACAATAGTGTGCATTGCATTGGCAATGCACACAGGTCTTGTCAGAAAACAGCAGTTTCCCCCAGCATTTTCTCCAGGAATTTCACTCTCCTCTCCAGTGTCCGACGTGAAAGAACGGCACAGGCCCGGCAGGACTCGGGCTCCACAAGCGCCCGTCGAGCGTGAARGATTCCRAGGCAGGCRGGGCAGGCCTCKTGCTGGTCCTTCTCATGAAGCTGAAAGTCGCAGCCCTGAGGACAGGGGCGAACAGAAGACTTCGGCTTCTTCGAAGGTGGTTTTGTGCTCATCTTGAACCACAAAATAGATTTTCAGCAGAAAATAAAGGTCACTTAAGTAGCATCAAGCGGCAGACAAACGAACCAGCAGGTAACGCGGTTAGCACCAGTAAAGCTASCCTAAGAACCTTCTAGAAGCTGAACTAACTAGCAGCAGCTATGTGAGCTCAGGTTTAGAGATGACTATCGCSAGGTGAAGGGTGATAGAACTGAGTAATGATGCTGGTGACTCCGAACTTATAAGGTGAAGGCGGAGCCTGTCACCCGACATTCAACGTCACCACGTCACCGGTGTAAAGACGTGTTTAGAGGTGGCTTCAGCCAGGCACGCGAGGGTGCGTGTCCCATATACAACTGTGTGTTGTACTGAGTGTAATGACTGAAAAGGGACTGTCCATTATCTCATCAGTCCTGTCAAACCTGTTACGTTGAGCCCATCAAATCTGTCGCGATCGAGCGGTAGACCACAGACTGGTCTTTAGTGTATCACAAGATTTACATTGAAAAAGTTTTATTTTAATCCTTATTTATTTTACAGCACACTAAACACTGATAGTGTTGTTCCCTTTTTGATGTTATTATCTCTAGTTTGGTCTCTTTTTTTTTTGTTTAAGTGTGGTCTTATCCTTTACCCCTTATTACTTTCTTTAGTACCCTTTAAGTGCTCGTTTTATTTATTTATTTATTTATTTTTGTCTGATTGTCTCTTGACATTCACTGTGGATGACGAAGTAAGAATTTCATTGCCCAGGTAAACATGTTTCATCTGTGTATATGACAATAAACAATCTGAATCTTTGAATATTGGACCTTGAATCTTAAAATTAGCATTTTCAAAACTCTACTAGAGGAACTTAAATTGTCCTTAAAAACAGCAACAACAGAAGAACTCTTGTCTAGGAACAGAGGGTACCTGAATGTGCCAGCACAAGTTTGTGAGTGACAGTTAATAAGAAGCTTGTGTGTTATCTGTGTTAAAAAATGACTAGCCAGCAAGTAAATTATTATTTTCACCCAGACTGTGAGGAGGACTATCTTTTTGACTTCTCAAATGTGAAGTCCATATATTTTATTTGTAACAAAAGTGTAGCCCTGTCCAAGAAGAGTAACTTGGACAAGCATGAGAAGAAAGAACACAAACACTATGAGGTGGATTTCCCTGCTTAAACCACTCAATGAGCCTGGAAAGTTCAGGCACTGTGAAATCAGCTGGCAGCACCCAGCCCAACACTAAAGGTAAGGCTGCCGCAGGAGCATTGACTAACACAATTCTTTCAGTGATGGCAAGCTTATGAAAGAAGCATTTATTGTGGCTGCAGATGCACTTTTCTGTTATTCTAAGAACAATGATAGGTCTGCAGATGACTGCAGAGAGACAGCTCCCTGGTTTGGGTTCAGGTTTTGACATTCTGATTTGTTTGGTATTTTAAATAATTGTTTGAGATTTGTAAATAGTTTTGTGAATTTGCACCCTCATATTCAGACTTTTGTAAATAGTGAGCACTAATTGTAGGTAGAAGGGAAATAGTCCCTTTCTGTTTGAACACCAGTTTTATCCTGTTTCTTTGTCGAGAATGAGTTTATGAAATTGTTTTTTCTGTAATTTTTTTTGGTTTGTTAGTCTTATTGTGTTGGCTTTCCTGCTGCTGGTGGTCAAAGGGTCTGGTAGCACCGGTGCTTGGCAGTCTCARCTCTGTCATGGCCCAGGGAAACTGTGGCTACAAGGTAGTTTACCATCATCAGTGTGTGAACGTGTGTATGAATGGGTGAATGACTGTTGTGTCTTTGGAGTCTGTAGGGACTTGATAAGTTCAGACAATTTACCATTTTAAAAAMACTCTTTTATTTGTCATGACCCTTTACTTTCAATAAAACTGCTAACTTGTTATATTCTGTTTGATGTACTGGCTGTTTTGGAAGTGAGGAGTGAGGAGACGCTCAAATTGTTATGACCCACGGTTTACCTGGAACTAGGAATACAGTGGGGTGAGAAACTTTGGGCAGCCTTGATTGCAGCATTGATTATTTGGATAAAAAAAAAATCTGTTAAATATATCATATAGGGGACAAACACAGTGATATTTAAGAAGTGAAATGAAGTTTCTATGATTTACAGAAAGTGTGCAATAATTGGTTAAACAAAATTAGGCAGGTGCATAAATTTGGGCACTGTTTTTATTTTATTGATTTCAAAACTTTTATAACTAATTATTGGAACTCAAATTTGGTTTGGTAAGTTCAGTGACCCTTGACCTCCATACACAGGTGACTCCAATTATGAGAAAGGGTATTTAAGGGGGGCAATTGTAAGTTTTTCTCCTCTTTGCATCTCTGAAGAGTGGCAGCATGGGAGTCTCAAAACAACTTTCAAATGAGCTGAAAACAAAGATTGTTCACCGTCATGGTTTAGGGGAAGGATACAGAAAGCTATCTCAGAGATTTCAGCTTTTAGTCTCCACTGTGAGAAACATTGTGAGAAAATGGAGGACCACAAGCACAGTTCAAGTGTAGGCTCAAAGTGGCAGACCAAGAAAATCTGGGATAAACAGAAGCGAAGGATGTTGAGAACAGTCAGAGTCAACCCACAGACCAGCACCAAAGACCTACAACATCATCTTGCTGCTGATGGAGTCACTGTGCATCGTTCAACTATTCAGCACACTTTACACAAGGAGATGCTGTATGGGAGAGTGATGCAGAGGAAGACTTTTCACCACCCACATCACAAACAGAGCTGCTTGTATGCTAAAGCACATTTGGACAAGTCAGCTTCATTTTGGAATAAGGTGCTGTGGACTGATGAAACTAAAATAGAGTTATCTGGGCAGAACAAGGYCCYTTATGCATYGAGGAAAAAGAARACAGCACTCCAAGAAAAACACCTGCTACCTACAGTAAAATGTGGGTGTGGTTCCATCATGCTGTGGGGCTGTGTGGCCAGTACAGGGACTGAGAATCTTGTTAAAGTTGAGGGACACATGGATTCCAACCAATATCAGCAGATTCTGGAGACCAATGTCCAGGAATCAGTGACAAAGCTGAAGCTGCACCGGGGCTGCATCTTCCAACAAGACAACCACCCTAAACACTGCTCGAAATCTACTAAGGCCTTCATGCAGAGGAACAAGTACAACATTCTCAGTCCCCAGACCTGAATATTAATGAAAATCTGTGGTGTCACTTAAAGAGAGCTGTCCATGCTCAGAAACCATCAAACCTGAATGAACTAGAGATGTAAAGAAGAATGGTCTAAAATACCTTCAAACATAATCCAGACTCTCAGAAGCTGTAGGAAAAATCAAGTAAAGTACAGATACCCAAAAAATCTATTTACGTACAGTAACAAAGTATTTGTACTTAGTTACTTTACAACTCTGGGTTTGGGTGGCCCTGCTCTAAACTGAGGCTGTTCTGAGGTGTGCATGTGTTTTGTCCTCACCTAGCATCTTAACAGTGTTTCGGTGACTCTGATCTCTTCTGCTGCTTTTTGGGCGAAGCCAAAGCGTCCGTCCAATCAGGCTGTACACCAGTCCAAGGATGCAGAGGGGTACCAGGAAGTATAAGTTGGACAGAATCATCATGGCTGACAGAAGGCCTGAGGAGATGGCGTAATGCGTGCAGCGGCACTCTCTCCTGTCAGTGTCTCCTTCACCACTTCCTTCAGGTCTCTCTTTACCACCTCCTTCATCTTCCTTCTTTTTGTTTTGCTGATCTCCTGCAAATTCTGTCTTCCATTCTTCATCGGCTTCCTCAGCTGCTCCTTTGGCATCTTTCAGTTCGCCTTCACCTCCTTGTTTCCACTCATTTACTTCTGATTTAAAATTGAATTCTCTCACTTCTCCACCACCTTTCTCTGGTAACTTTGCTTCTTCTAGTCCAACATCTATCAAGGCCATGTGTGCACCTCCTCGTTCCTCTCCACCCATCACCAGCCCTCCCTGTTTTCCCTCCCTCCCTGTCCATGCTCTGTCCTCCCTCCACTGGTTGAGACCGAGCTCCTCTCCTCCAACTTCCTCCACTCCAACCATGACTAATACTGGTGCAGCACTGACAGCAGCGCCCAGCCACAGGCAGCCGATGATTACCCTGGTCCTGTGCCGTGTCACAATTGTCTTTGCTGTGATTGGCCAGCACACTGCCAGGTACCTCTCCAGAGAGAGGAAGGTGATGTGGAGGATGGTGCAGAAGGTGCAGCATTCTGACAGGAACATAGTCAGCTTACAGGCAAGGTCTCCTAAGGGCCACGGTCTGGGTCTCCAAAGCTGAAAGAGARGGGAGAAAGTGTGTGAATGGACATCAAGTTGATTAAAAACTGTATCACTTTTCACATCAAACTCATCAATCATCTCCAGAATACATAGACTGAACAATCAGTCACTGCCATGGAGAACCACATTAATGTGGATCTGTAAATTATTTACTAATAAAAAATGATGCTGTGTACCTCTTAGTTTAATCTTGACTAAAAGTCAAAATATTTTAATGTGCAGTTAAATCTTGAAAAATACATTTCTATGAGCCAATGGTCAATTTCATTACCATATTCCCTCACTATTCTGAATAATATGTGTGTGTTTGCTTATCTGTTAGCAAAATATTTTATGAAAGTATTTATTGACTGCATGTCTTCACCTGGTTTACTTTTGGAGTCAGCCCCAGTTCAAGATGGCTGTCACGGCCAAATAACAGCAAACAGAAAAATGGCTACAGCACTGTCAGTTGGACAGATATTGTAACAGAGTTTGGTATGTTAACAACTTAACATCTTCATCAACACATACTCTGAGCACTCATAGCTCAAGCTAGAATTTTGTAGGGGTGCACCGATTGCAGTTTTTGGTCCCATAACCGATCTTTAAAAAGTCTGACCTGCCAATCCCAACTTTGACACTGTCAGGTGTAAGGTCTTAATACACCTTCAATGTTCCAATTTTATTTTACTGAAAACCACTTAACAATCCCCTTGAAATAATACAAACTTGTTTGTTTTTTTTAGTAGCACTCACAGCAGAGCAAAAGGAGACCGTGGCTGATTTCAGACCTTTGTGGAGTATCGGCTGATCTCTGATCTCACAAAATTAAGAAAATCAGTACTGATAAATTTACCGGCCGATTTATCAGCAGGAGGTTTCATGAAATTTCAGTCTCTCCAAGTACAAGTTATGGGTGAAAAGAGGCAGAAGTGCAATCTTAGCTCGCATCCACAAAAATTTGTACTTAGAAGTAAGAATTCCAGAGTTTCAAGTGAGATAAATGAACTGAGAGCCCAGAGTCTGACTTCCAACTTAGAAAGTCTGTTTCTCACCAGCACACTGTCAAACTCAAACAATGCCACGTGCACAAACTTTAGTGAAAGCTGCAGTAACAYTGTGCTTATTTACTATTCTGACTATCTGTATCTCAGCAAATCCCTTGCACAAATTTACAGCTGGTAGTGCAAGAAAAAAAACTTTACCAGCATGTACTGTTAGTAGTTAGCTTGGTCCCTTAGCACAGTTGTTGAACTTGCAAAAATGGATGATGTTTTAGTTGAATGTGAGGTCAWTCATTCCCAGATCTAAACTCTGACTGAAGTAAATGAACAGCAGTGATACTGTTGGTGCTGTCACCACTAAAATTAGCCACACTTTGTGAAACTGTATATTATTTACCCGCAGACTAGCCTGGTTAAAACCAGACCCTGTCCTTCACTTTGCTTCCTACAAGGGTCTGGACTTGATGCATAGAGAAGTGATTTCTTGCAGGA